TATATATATATATATGAAGCCTCAGGTTTGAGAATGGAGATAGGCTCCTCCCTTGCCAGCAGAAGTTAAGGTGTGAACTGACTCTGATCATAGTAATAACTGTGAGGTACCAGCAGATGGCATAATGGTCATGTTGCTGGACTCCCACATAGTCAATTGAGGTTCCAGGCCCAGACCTGCAGCTTACTGTCACACTGGGCGCATGTGCGGGCATGCCCAAGGTCCTGAAAGGAGAATGGAGGAGAGGGGATTGCAGCATGGCCATCTCCCCTGCGGGGTGTGTTTGTGTGTGTGTGTGTGTGTGTGTGTGTGTGATTTCTCCCTATCTGTCTTTCTGTGTCTTTCCAGCAAGTGCACGCCCCCTATAGCAAAAAGAAAAAGAAATCTCTTTTCAAAATAAATAAAATAAATAAAAATAAAATAAAATAAAATAAAATAAAATAAATAAATAAGTAACTGTGAAACTGACCAGAGACCAACAGGCACAGGCAAACTGCTGCCCATAGCCCGTAAAGTTTAAAACCGAAACAGGGGCCAGCCTGTGGTGTGATGATTAAGGCAGCAGGATCCTACCTAGCTGACTGTGTAGTTTGAGTTCCAGGCCCAGCGGCTTGAGAAACATGCCAGGTGCATGAACATGCATGCCCAAAATCTGGAAAGGAGGGAGAGATGGAGAAGGAGGAACAGTGGTATGACCATCCTCCATGGGGCTATTTTCTTACTTTCCCTCCCTCTTTCTCTGTCTCTCTCTTACAAGCACACACACACCCTCTAGTAACCAAAACAAAACAAAAACAAAAATTAGACAGAAAAAAAAAAAATGGTGTTTAGAACTTCTGGGATTGGCTCTGGAGAGCTAAACTTTTTCTGAGAACTATTTCTCTTTCATAAGAAGCATCAAATATTTTATTATTTTTTTTAAAGAATTATTTTATTGGGATCAGTAGTTAGCGTAATGGCTATGTCGCTGAACTCCCATGTAGTCGACCGTGGTTCGAGTCCCAGACCCGGTGGCTTAAACTCACACCTGGCGCATGTGCGTGCGTGCCCAAATCCCGAGAGGAGAATGGAGTAGAAGGGATTGCGGTGTGGCCATCCCCCCAGGGGGTGATTTCTCACTTTCTGTCTCTCTGTCTCTTTCTGTCTCTCTGGTGAGCACAAGCGCACTGTAGCAAAAAACCTCTCAAAAAAAAATTACTTTATTGAACTTATTTATTTATTTTATTTTAACCAGAGAGAGACAGAGTGAGGGTGAGGGGAGTGAGAAAGCAAGCTGCCAGGTCCTCTGGGACTCGAACCACGGTCAGTCATGTGAGAGTCCAGTGCTCTTAACCACCATGCCACCTGCCAGTCCCGGCATTACAAATTTTAAATATGTAAGTACTTTTGTTGGAAATTTTCTTTTAGTCACTCTGGGTCATTTTAAATCTCAATCTACTGGACCTTTAGTTTTGCTAAACTAAAGGGAGCTATGCTTTCACAGTTTTTAGTTTTTGCTATAGGTTGTATGCACTCACTAGAAAGAGAGAGAAAGAAGTCACTCCCCAGAGGGGATGGCCACATTGCAATTTCTTCTCAGTCTTCTCTCAGGATTTTAGGCATGCATGCTCAGGTGCCTAGTGTGTTTTTCAAGCCACCTAAACCACCACTTGACTGGCTCTGTTTTTGGAGTTTATGTATCTATTTTTTGCAGTTAAAATTTTTATATTTATTTACAAGCGATTCAGCTCATTTTTCCTTTTAAATTCACTTTGAACTTAAATCTGTGGTCCAGCATGTTATGATAGCTTGCACAGAATCAAAGGGAAGACGCAGAGGGAGAACCTCGACAAGGACTTTTCCATGAACCCAAAGCCCTTTCTTTGGAGTTCTGCTTTGTGCTGAGTTTTGGGAAGGGACCACATCTAATGAAGAAGTAGTCTCAGGGAGTTGAGTGACCTTGGCTTCTGGAAGATGAAATGGCATCCCTATTTCCTGAAGCTTCAAAGGCCAGTGATCTAGTTGAGGCCCTAACACAGGTCCTCTCCACAGGCTCACAGACTTGGGTCCCTGGATTAGATGTATCTGCTTTGCTGCCCTCTGACCTCAGCCACTACTTCCGCTATGAGGGGTCTCTGACCACACCCCCCTGTGCCCAAGGGGTCATCTGGACTGTGTTCAACCAGACAGTGAGGCTGAGTGCCAAGCAGGTGGGGCCGGGACCGGGTGGTGTTGATACGAGAGTTGGGGAAAGGGGAGATGGGGGTTAGAGCCATGAGGTGCTAGCTCAGTAGGCCTGGGCCTTCTAGTTTATGCCATGTGCCCACTCCCTCTGTGTGCTGACCTCCCTAGCTCCACACCCTCTCTGACTCCCTATGGGGACCTGGGAATTCTCGGCTACAGTTGAACTTCCGAGCAACACAGCCTTTGAATGGACGAATAATCGAGGCCTCCTTCCCTGTGCAAACGGAGAACAAACTTAGGACCACTGAGCCAGGTGCAGCTTTGTCTGTGTCCCATGTTGCCATGTCCCCCAACCACAGGTCCCTCATCGTCCTATGTGTCGTTTATGCTCGTGTCTGTCACTGGTGGTTATGGTCCCCAGGTCTAATGTCTCCTTTTTCCCTTCAGTCCACCTGACTTCCTGCCTTGCCGCTGGTGAGTCTGCACCCCTCCTCTTGATCCTGCTGAACCCCAGGGCATAGGCAGGGCCAGCTCTGTTCCTCCTTTCCTGCAGAACAGGCCCCCAACTCCAATTCACACCATGGAGGGATATTACCCCCACTTTCTCCAGGACTTAGTTGATCAGAATGATGCTCCAGAAATCTCCTAGCATTTCCCTCCCCAAACATTTTGTTAGCCTTTGGGAAGGAAAAATGGTGCTGATCTTACCTCTTCTTGTGTGTCCACTCCCATCCCCTTCTGGTGAATAAAGAGCTGGGGCTGCCTGAAAACTCAGGGTAGAGTAAGGGCACTCTGAATCAGGCTTTGAAAACCCTGCAGCCCCATTTTCACTCCCTGAGTCAGCACTCCCTGAGTCAGCCCTCCCTTCTCCCTCCCAGGTGACATCTTGGCCCTGGTTTTTGGCCTTCTCTTTGCCATCACCAGCATTGCATTCCTTGTGCAGATGAGAAGGCAGCACAGGTATCAGGATGACCCAACCCCCACCCCTCCCCATGGAGCCCAGAATATCAAATTGCATGCAAATGAGCACATCCTGGGCCAGGTTTCTGATCAGGCTTTACCTATTATGTAGACACAGATGTGGGACCAAAGGTGGTGGTAGCTACCGCCCAGCAGAGGTCGTGGAGACTGGCGCCTAGAGACCTGGAACTTGGACAGTGTGCAAATGGGAGCCAGCTAGAGGAATCTACGGGGTGCTGGAAACTGTCCTGCTCTTTACACCACTTCTGTTTTAAACTCCATAGGGTATTTTTAAATAAATATTTCTAATAAAATATGCGGGAGTCACTTTCGTTTCTCATATGCAAAGTATGGTATATTCACTTTCTATTACTGCTGTAGCTTATCACCACAAACTTAGTTTTAATACAAATTTAGTCCCGTAGTTCTGGAGGTCAGAAGCCTAGAATGAATCTTACGTGTTAAATCAAGGTGTCGGTTGGGCTAGTTTCTTCCGGACACTGAAGGGAGAACTTTCTCACCATTTGCAAATTCTGGAAGCCACCTGCATTCCTCAGCTCATGACCACTTCCTCTTAGCCTCTTGCTAACATTATCTGTTGCCTTTGACCTTTTGTTCTCTTTCCTCTTTTAAGGACCCTCGTGATTACATTGGTCCTATCCAGATAACCTAGGGGAATCTTTCCATCTCAAAACCCTTTGCTTAATCACAAAGACTCTTTTGCTATGTGAGGTAACATTTCTCAGGATTAGAATGTGGACGTCTTTGGGGAGAGTCATTATTCTACGGGTTGCAGGTGTTATCAGAGAGGTATTGTCGGAATGGGCTTTCGTGTGTCTGTGTGCGTCTGTCTGTGTACAGCAGTGTGTGTTTGGGGTGGGGCCGGCTGCAGTCTTTAGGCTTAAAATCACATTGAGGCTTTGGGCTTTCTCCCTGCTCAAGAGTCATCAGGGCTGGTTCTTGCAGCTTTTCTTCAGGATGTCTGTCTGGCCCAGCTGCTGACTGCAGTGATGCAGATGGCAGCTGCTCAGCCCGCAGGGAGTAAGGGACAGGCCATCTTGCAGCCCTGCCTTCTCTGTGCCACACAGCCCATTTACCCCTCTCCTCAAGGAGCCCAGCGCTCCCACCCCATTGAGAAGGAGGTCCCGTTGCCAAACAAGGCCCCAGGCCCTGCTCATTCAGGGATCTTCCAACTCCATTGCCAATGCCAAAGAAAGGCCTACGATGCCAGTAACATTGTTTTTATTGTTGGGGTGGCAACTACGGCCTGGTTGGGGGCAAGGTTGGCCCTCACAGGTTGTTGAGTTCCAGCAAGGTCTGGTCCAAGGTCTGGTGAATCTCCACGTTCTCCTCCTTGGCACTGGCCAAGGTCTCTGTGAGGGGAAGCAGCAGGTGAGGAAGGGAAGGGAAAACAGGAGGAAAGGGTATGGGGGAAGTAGGGGGAGAGGCATGGATGGGGAAGGTGACGTACAGATATGGAGCAGGTTAGGAGACACATGGCAGGGCCAGATGGACAGAGTGACCAGGACAAAGGGAACAGGACAGACATGGGTGCCTCATTCAAGGCCTCGGGGTCATGAAGGTGGGATGGGGAGGCCTAAGTCATAAACTAATTTACCCTCCTTTTTTAGAAGGTTTAGCAAAGTTAGAAACAAAAGGAAAGACAAAGACAGCAAGGAGAGGGAGGGCTGGGCAGACTCGAGGCAGCAAACAGACCTGCAGCGCACTGAAAGCCCCATGGTGCAGATATCCAGTGTTTTCCGAACTTCATTCCAGACCTTTCACCACTTTCTTGCCCTCTCCTGAATCACATCACCCCTCTTCCCTTTCCAACTTTCCTTTAGGTTCCGGAACCCCAACTCATTGCTCCCAGGTCAGTTATGGGCACCAGAGGGGGTCCCAGTGCTGGATGGGGCTATACGTGCCCACGTGCAGCAGTGAGGGTCAGAGAGTGGCAGGCTGGGAGTGCCCGTGCAGAGGGGTTCGGCGTGGGCCACAGAGTCTTGTGAGTGGGCACAGAGCGGGGGTGGGTGTCAGGAGATTAAGGGTGTCGGTAAGAGCCAGGGTCTTAGGAGTGTTCCAGTGCTCTGGGTGGTGATGGCAGTGCTCTCTGGAAGGCAGGAAAACAGCGTGGAGACCGAGTTCAGAGTTTATTAGGCAGCAGAGCGGGCTGGAGGGGACAGTGGACAGAGAGAAGGATAAAGCAGTGCCGGAGTGGGCGGCGGGTGTGATGGGGGCTCTCCCTAGGCTGCTCCCAGCCTGGCTGTGCAATGTCAGCAATTCTGTGCCTCCTGCCTGCCCCCCTCTCCACAGAGAGACTGGAAAAGAGGAGAGAGGAAGGTGAGGCAGCCACACTGATGTGGGGCTCAGAGGGAGGTGATGTCATTGAGAGCGTTGTCCAGCTCTTCGCTGATGGCCTTGTACTTCATCTTCTGTGCATAGACTTCATCTGGGGGGCCCAGGAGGAGGACCAGGTGGGAGTGTGGGAGAGGGAATGGAGGGAAAGTGGAAAGGAAGGAGAGAGGGTAATGGAAAGAGAGAAAAAGAATGAGAGAGCCAGACAAAGACAGAGGCTAGAGGACAGGCTTGCCAGCTGTCAGGGTCCCTCCTCCCATCTCTCCCTGCTCTCTTTCATCCCTCTCTGCACCTAAGTGGATACTTCCCCCAGGACCTCCTACTTAGGATTGTGGCAGCACCATGCTCTGACAAGGGGGAGTGTGTGCTTAAGGGGAAGAAGGAGGGTGCTTAAGCCAAAAAGGTCTAAAGCCCTGAAGTGGGAGACAACATCCGTGCTTGCTTGAGAAGTACTGAGAAGGCTGGAAGCAAGAGACTTGGGAAATACGAAAGTGAAAGGGTTATCGTAGAACGTGAGGTAACTTCAGGCAACGGTGTCTGTAACAGAAATAGTTGTGGACTTGCAAGTATCTGGCTGTTTGCTTTCACTAAATCTGGTTTAGAGTAGTATTTCCCACCAACGTGGTTTTGCAAACCCAGATGATAAGTAAAATAGCTCTCCATTCAATGATGCCTGTGTGATATAAGTTATTGTGCTGCACATGGAGACGGGGCTGGCTAGATCAATGCTACTCAAAGGACCAGCCCACTGCCGGATCAGGGAGCTTGCCAGACATACCAATTCTCCAGCCCAAAGTCAGCAGTCACTTTGGGGTAGGGTCTAGGAATACATGCTCTTAAAACTCTCTGGGTAGGGGCCGGCAGGTGGTGTGGTGGTGGTTAAAGATGTTGGATTTTCACTTGGCCGACTGCGGTTCAAGTCCTGAACCTGACGGCTTGCTTTCTCGCTTTCCCTTTCTCTGTCTGTCTGTCTCTCTCTGGTCAAATTAAAAAATAAAAATAACAAATGGAATTAATTACATAAATAAATAATTATTTAAAAACAAAACAAAACACCTCTCTAGGTGGGCCAGCTGGTGGTGTGGTAGTTATAAGGATGCTGGATCCCATGTGGCAAACTATGGGTTTGCTACTGAGTCCTCGGCCCAGTGGCTTGAAAAACATACCAGGTGTGTGTGTGCATCCCCAAAATTCTGAGAGGAGACTGGAGAAGGGACTGTGGTATGGCCATCCCCCTTGGAGGAGTGCTTTCTCACTTTCTCTCTCTGTCTTGCTCTCTCTCTGTCTCTGTCCCAGGGGAGCATGCACACTCCATAACAAGTAATAAAATTCTCTGGGTGATTCTCATGCAGGCTAAAGCTGAGAAGCACTGGAGTTGATGTATCATAGCTTGCTACAACTACCTGAACTTAGCCCAGTCCACTGGAGTTTGTGGATTCCTGGGTGTTCCAACCCTAGTCCCTCAGTGCCAAATATAATGGAGTGAGAAGATAAGGGATAGACTGATAGTCAGGGTTTGGGGTAGCGTCTCCCTTTTACCTTCCAGGTCATCGATGGTTTTCTCCAACTTTGCCACAGACCTTTCGGCAAACTCTGCTCGGGTCTCAGCCTGGGAGTAAAAGCAGCATGTGAAAATAGCAAATCATTAGGCCCTCGCCCAAGTCAACCCTCTCTCCCTCCCTATCTCCATATCCCACACCACATGCAGTCTCAGGTGGGGATTAGGGTGGCTTGCAGGGAGACGGGGAACTGGCGGAGACTCTCACCTCCTTCAGCTTCTCCTCCAGCAATTTTATCTCCTCTTCATATTTATCCTCTTTGGTGGAATACTTTTAGGGACATACACATGCCATTAGTGCATCGCCTTCACAAATCCTTCATTTCTCCATTGAGCCTCTCAGCCTCCTCATGATCTAGCCTCCACTGAAACCCAGCCCCTCCCTGCCTGGGCCCATCACCTCCCTCCCCAGCAGGACCACATCCTCACTGCCCCGCCCCTCTCCCCCCTCTACCTTGTCCGCTTGGGCCTCCAGGGATTTCAAGTTGTTGGTAACAATTTTCAGCTCCTCCTCTAGGTCCCCACATTTACTGCAGGGGGTGTGCGGCAGGGTGGGGTGTGAAGGCACAGTGAAGAGAGGCAGTGGAGATGGCACAGTGGAGGAGGGGTGGAGGAGAGAAGAGAAGAGCAAAGTTGTGAGAGTGACAGCTGAAGAGTTTGGAAGCCCCAGGCCTTTCCGACCCCCGGCAGATGAGAAAGAGCAGCCTGAGATCTGAGACGGAGGGCAAGGGAAGCTCAGAGAAGGCGCCATTGCCCAGAAAGATTCAGAGAGGTCACTACCTCCTCTTCAGAGGCCATCAGGGACTTGAGGGCCTGGTCCATGGTTCGAAGTTCCTCCTCCAGCTGCCTGGCTCGGCTGGGGGCAGCGGGCAGGGGTCAGAGGGCAGACCCCATGGCACCACGCTAGGGAAACTGCCTCCCCACTGCGCCCCATAGCCACTGTCTCCGGCAAATTCACTTGCCACCCAGGGAATCATTACCTCTCGGCCACCTCTGCTCTCTCTTCTGAGCGCTCCAGCTCTCCTTCCAGGATCACCAGCTTCCTGGCCACCTTGGGGGAAGGGAAGAGAGGAGTAGGTCAATGGTGAAGGACTGGGGGTGGCAGGGGCTTGGGAGTGAGCAGTTAGTGGGCCAAGGTGGTCACCTCCTCATATTTGCGGTCTGAGTCCTCAGCGATGTGTTTGGCCTCCTTCAGCTGCATCTCCTGCAGCTCCATCTTTTCCTCATCTTTCATGGCCCGGTTTTCAATGACCTTCATTCCTCTGAGAAGCAGAAAGAGGGGCAAAGGTAGGGCTAGGACCAGCAGACACAGGCTTCCTCACCTCCCCAACTTTCCCCTCCAGGGCCCCCTGTGCACCTCTCGCTCTCATCAGCTGCCTTCTCAGCCTCTTCCAGCTTTTGCAGGGCTGTAGCCAAGCGCTCCTGCGCCCGGTCCAGCTCCTCCTCTACCAGCTGGATGCGGCGGTTGAGGGAGGCCACATCTGCTTCAGCCTGTGTGTCAGAGGTCAGAAGTCAAAAAAGCTCTATCCACCTTGAATGAAGAAGGCGCCAGAGGATGGTTATAGGCTTCTCAGATTGAACCTCGGCTTCCTGGCTTCTAGACTTTCCCCCAACCAGCCATCTTCTACCCAGATTCTGTGCTCTAGCCAAAACCCTGCCATCTTTGACAGACTCCTCTCCCCTGCTACAGAGCCTCTTGTGGCACTGCACATGGTTAGTCTCCTGATGAGTTATTTGCACACAGATCCCTGTCTCCTGTGCCGGGACCAGGTCAGAGCAGAGTCTGGGCCAGGTAAAGGGGATGGGGAAGAATCAGGCCATCTAGACTTCACTGGGGCTAAGAACAGCCAATCGCAGAATTAAGCTCAGTGATGTCACTGGCAGCCAGGCAGACATCCAGCAACCGGCCCAAGAGGCAGACCAGGCATACAAGGGACATTTATGCAGCATTGAGAGCTCCTTGCCAAGGCCAGGAGACAGCTGGGGGCAGTGTAAATGATGGCTACTCAGCCCCTGGTCTTGCAATATGGAGGAAAACAATGGAGGTTTTAGAGAAGGGTCATAAAAACCTGATGATACATAGAAAAAGTGAAAGGGCAGAGCAAGACGGGCCCTAATAAAGGAAAGTGAGAGAAGCAATGAGGTTTGGCTGAGTAAGACTATTGTCTTTGAGTCACAATTTAGCCACTCAACACCTGAGTGACCTTGGGCAACTCACGTATGTTCTCTAAGCCTCGGTCTCCCTCTTTCGTAAACTGGACTTCATAACTTCCTCCTTTTTAGGGCTTGCTCTGAGAGAATGCAGTGTTTCTAATATTGCTTAATCAACAGGATCACCTGGTAAACTCATAAAACTAATCAGGTTCTCCAGTTACATGCTAGATCCACTGAACTGAGACGTCCAGGGCAGGGGTCTAAGAATCTTTTTGTTTTGTTTTGTTTTTAAGGCTCGCAAGTGATTCTGGTGATAAGCCACGTTTAAGAAACAGTAAAAGTAATATGCAGAAAACACTGAGCACACTGCCTGCACAAAATCTATACTCCACAAATGTTAGATTATCCTTGTCTCTCTCTCAAAATCAAAGACACAGAGACTCTTATATTTAAGACTGGAATGGTCAAAGGACCAGGATAGGGGGAAGAGTGGGTGGAGGGAAGAGGAGTTGGGACGATCGGAGGCA